TAAACACTGACTTATCTGATGTGTCTATTCTATACCAGTTCTCTGTCAAAGCTGTTTTTTTGTCCTTGTTTTTTGTTAAAAAAAAAAAAAAATGCAGCTATTTCCTGGAATTTAGCAGATAAGCATTTTGCATGCAAGCTATGAAAATCTCTTCTTCTCTGAAGTTTCAGTGTGTCATGGAGCAATTACATAGAACAACAGGGCAGGAGAGCTATAACTAGACCACAATATCCAGATTACAAGTGAGCAGCCCAGGGCAGCAGGAGTAAGATCAAGAACCAAGTGGGGGAACAGGGAAGAAGAACATCTTTGAGACATCAAAATATGCCAAGCTGGCAAGGGAACCATCAGAACAAGCTCCCTTTCTGATCTTGAAGCAGAATCCAGCAGTCTAAACTCCCAGGATCCCTCTACCACCAGAAGTTAACTGAGAACCACTGATACGAATGGTACTCTTCTCTCACATTATTAATTCTACCTAATTAGACATTGTGGAAAATGAAATCTTGACTTTTTCAACAGCAAAATCACAGAATCACAGAAATGAAGGGGTTGGAAGGAACCTCAAAAGATCATTGGGTCCAACCCCGCTGCGAAATCAAGTTCCTTAGAGCAGGTTGCCCAAGTAGGCATCCAGATGGGTCTCAAATATCTCCAGAGGAGACTCCACAACCTCCCTGGGCAGCCTGTCCCAGTGCTCCGTCACCCTCACAGTGAGGAAGTTCTTTCGCATGTTGGTGCGGAACTTCCTGGGCTCCATCTTGTGGCCATTGCCCCTTGTCCTGTCCCCACAAACCACTGAAGAGAGGTTGGCCAAATCCCTCTGTCTCCCACACTTCAGATATTTGTAAACATTGATGAGATCCCCTCTCAGTCTTCTCGAGGCTGAACAGCCCCAGGCCTCTCAGCCTTTCCTCATAGGGGAGATGCTCCAGGCCTTGTACCATCTTTGTGGCCCTCCTCCGGACTCTTTCCAGGAGATCCCTGCCTTTTTTGTACCGGGGAGCCCAGAACTGGACCCAGTACTCCAGGTGAGGCCTGACCAGGGCAGAGCAGAGGTGGAGGATCACCTCCCTTGACCTGCTGGCCACGCTCCTTTCAATGCACGCCAGGATCCCATTGTCCCTCTTGGCCACCAGGGCACGCTGCTGGCTCATGGCCAACCTGTCGTCCACCAGGACCCCCAGCTCCTTCTCCTCAGAGCTCCTCTCCAGCAGGTCGTCCCCCAGCCTGTACTGATACATGCAGTTGTTCCTTCCCAGGTGCAGGACTCTGAACTTGCTCTTGTTAAACCTCATTTGGTTTCTCCCTGCCCATCTCTCCAGCCTGTCCAGGTCTCGCTGGATGGCAGCACAGCCTCTGGCGTGTCAGCCACTCCTCCCAGCTTTGTGTCATCGGCGTACTTGCTGAGGGTGGACACTATTCCCTCATCAAGGCTGTCAATGAAGATGTTGAACAAGATAAGGAAGATTTAATTTTATAATCTATGTATTGGCCAGAGGCTGATAGCAACATGCTTGTCATGCGATTCATTTAAGTATTACAGCACCCATCAGCCTCTCAGCAGCTGGGCTTCAGTGCTGAGCTCTGGACAAAGCCTTATCTGAAGAGACGGGCAACAGAGAGCCACTCGGATTTCACAGACTGACCTATAGTTAGTAACTGAACCATAAGGATTAAGCCTTGCATGTCCATCACTTCTCTGAGTTTTTGAAGTATGAGCAGGAAGGTACAGCTACCATATTCTGCAGTGATCTGTGCTGGTAAAATTTAACACCAATCCCATCCACAGGACAACAAAAAAAAAACACATAAAATCAGCACTTGCAGCTCTATCCAAAAAAGTGTCATCACCTGAGTGATTGCTCATGCTAAAGACAGGAATGCATTTAAATCTCACAAATGATCAAGAATGTTTAATCCTCCCTCAGCTTTCACTTGTGGATGGTTCCACCAAAAATCTGAGTCACCTTTAGAAGAAACAATGAAAACTACACCATTACAGCTGTTCCCATAAAATGGTATACTCACAGAAAACTTTGAATATAAAGTTGTGCTGCAGTATTTGCTTGATTTTTACTTTCCTGCACTTTATTTTTAAGTGTATTTCCACAACAAATGAGAGAACACTGATGATAAAGCAATGTCAAACCAAAACTGAGCATCTATTTTGGCATGGCATGAAAAAATGAAGTGCTGTCCTCACTGTGCCTCGCATAAGCCCTTGACATTTTTCTTCTCTAAATAAGAACCTTGTACAGGTTAATAGTTAAAAGAATGTAAAGGGAAAGGTCTGAATATTCAGACAGGATTCTGAAACTTAAACTTTCAGCATAGTTCTCAAAGCAGTATGATGATATCAGTTCACAAATAGCTTAAGCAGAAGTCCAGCACAGCAGTAGTTGTCTCAGGCTACGTAACAAGCCTTTCGAAAGAGTATGAAGTAAGAGAATTGCAATGTATTTGGCACAATGCCACTACTCAGATGATATCCTAGCCTCATAGACATGTACAGTACACAGCAATTCATCATCTCATACTATGTGGCACTGACATTTCTTGTGTTGAAACAAAAATAGCTATAGTAAAAGTAAATCAAGCACCACATGTGGAGGCCAGTGAGGCTTGTGCGTGTTATACACACTGCAATAATAACTAAATAAGAACTAAAAACGAACTCACCCACACAAGTTTTGGAACAAGTGGACTTTCACATTCACTAGTGGTGCAAGAAAAGCCTCTCACAAAGGAAGCAGGCTCAGGCTCTAGGTTCAGAGCACAGAAACCACACAACTACGGTCCAAGTAGTGCAGAAGCAAATACAGAACTAGGCAGACTTCTTCCCAGGATGCATCACATCACTACTGTGCCTCAGACCTTTCACTTCCACAAAGACCTGGAGTAGTTCATTCAATAGAAGTACACGTACTACCCTCATGCACACACCACATATTACCACAGCTGAAGAAAAAAAATTATCAGAAGTCAGATTCTAAGCAGCAGTTTCAGTGGGTTAAAGAAGAAAAGAAGACGGAAGGGAAAAAAAAAGTGAAGTAAAACAAGGAAAAAAAAGCTGAGTGCAGGAACAGAAGCACCAAACCTACTTTCAAGAATGTAGCTATTCAAGCAAACTGTCAGAAGAGCTCCAATTACCAGAGCTGATACTGACACCAACACCAATCTTTTCTGGATAACTGAAATCCACTGGAGTTCTAACATTATTTACAGAAAACATCTATGCCTCTTTTGGTCACATGAGATAATGCTAAACTGTGCAAAACAAATCACAGGTGTTGAAGACATCACCAGCACCCAAAGGTGTGTAAAAACCCATATCCATACAAGCCAATTAAGTCAACAAGGTGTTTTGTGTGTGTTTGTTTTTGTTGTTGTTTGTTTTGCTTTGTTGTTTGTTTTTAAGTCTCCAATTTCACTCTGTAGAACACAGATTACAAAGACAAAACAACTGTAATGACCACTTCCTTGGAAATATAAATGGCCAGGCTGCCGTTGGATTTTAATTCCTGCTCAAGCACACCTTTAACCAATTTTTCCAAATGCCCAGATTTCAGCCAGAAGTTTTCTATGATGGGATGGAGTGGGCCCCAGGAAGAGCCTTGTGTCCCTGGTGTGAGTTCATTGCATTAGCGAGTGACACAGAGCATACCAAAACATATCTGGTCATTGAAAGGTAAGCAAGAGAAAATTCCCCAAAAGACTGTCACTCCAACAGCTGCTGCACACAGAGAAAATGTAAGTGGTTTCGGGGACAAAGAAGGTGAGTGTCTCTTACTGATAAGCTGGAAGCAGAAAGCAGGACAACGCATTTCAGCTAGCAAGGAAACACCGTCTCATTCACAAGCAACATTACTTTGCTGTACAGATTGATACACTCATGCTTTTAAGGAATCTTGAAGTATTTCTCCATATTGAAGAAGTACTCTCTACTTTCAGATTTTAAAAAAGCCCTAAAAAAAAAAGTTGACAACTCCTGAATTATCTACCCTCAGTCTGTCTTCTCTGTGACAAAAACGAACAGCCTCCAGTCTGACCAGGTTGCACCAGTCACCTCCTGCAAGAGACCAAAATCTATTTCCTTTCCAGGTCACTGGTATCTCCACGCAAACCCAAAATTTAGTTCATCTACATGGAGACATTTATTTACTGGGAGCCCTACCGTTCAGTGGGTGAGCTTGCATTCCAGATCTAAAACCAGCTTGTGTGGACTTCTACAAGAGACTGCTGAAGTCAAACAGAGGTGCATCAGCAATGTTAACCAAAACATATCACTTCTAGCTTAAGGTGTTTCTTTCAGCAACCATCCAACACGTGGTAGTAGCTTTCCATGGGTGCACTACCCATGCTCACTTTCAAGGTTTAAATCCAGACAAGCCAGCACTGGCATGACACTGCAAAGAGCTCTCCTGCAGACAAACACGTGTGTCAGCAAAGGCCTGAGCACGTCAGCTGCACATGGGTGCTGTCCACAGAGTCCGATGTAAATTATACCCAGAACAATCGCAGCTGGACAGCCTGTGAGAGCCTCCCTTGCTGCTCACAAACACAGCCTGTCCTTAGAACTTTGTTTTGCTAATTGAGATTATAAAATTCAAAGTCGTGGCAAACAAAACTATCACGGGCAGCAGCAGAGCCAGCAAGCCAACACGAGCAGAAGTACCAGGGGGACTCCTAACAATCCTTCCTATAGGCATAGAGCAGCAAACCCTGACTGATAAACCCCAGTAAGCTCTGCTGAACTCCCAGAAAGACTGAGGGAATCCTGAGGGGAGGGAAGGCTGGGAAAGCTGCCACATTTTTCATAACAAGAAGAAACCTCTCCCAAGAGACAGCAGCCTGGAGGCCTTTTACATACAGAGACCACGAAGATCTCCTCACCCACCAGGCTGCCACCTCGCTTGCCTACACAGAGGCACCCACCAGCCATTTACCAGTGGTACGGAGGAACACGAGGCCCAGGCCTCGCACCGGGGGCTACTCACATTCTGCCCACGCCCTCGTACATGCGGGTCTCGTCCACCAGCATCATGATCTCGGTGTCGGTGAGGTGTGCGTGCTTCTTCGTCTTGCTCAGCTGCTCGATCTGGATGTCGGCCAGCTTCACCTTCTGCTGCGTGTCTATCACCTTAGCCTGGAGCTCCGTGAAAGCCTGCAGGGGGGGGGGGGGGGGGGAAAGCAAACACAAGGAGAGGCTGGGGCGGCCGGGCCGGGGGCTGCGGGAGGGGAAGGGGCCAGCAGGGCGGCCCGAGCCGGGCAGGGGGCAGGGGGCATTGGGCAGGGCCCCCCCGGGCCGCCCGTTACCTTCTTCAGCTCCAGGTCCACGGGCGCCGCCATCTTCCACCCGCCCGGCGCCTGCGCGGGGGAAGAGGGGGGGAGAGAGGAGATGGACGGGGAAGAGGAGGGGAGAGGAGAGGGATGGAGGAGAGCAGGGAAGGATAAGGCAGGAGAGGGATCGGGAGCTGTGTTTAGGGTCAGCAACGGGGCTAGCGACCAGCTCGGGTGGTGCCGGGCTGCGGCACGGCTCCGGGGTAGCGCAGGCAAAGCGTGAGGCGCTCGCCGTGCTGCAGGCTGAGGAGGAAGGGTCCCCGAGCCCAGAAGCTACAGGGACAGGTCAAATAAAGCTGTGCCCGTAGCTAAAGCTAGAGGCAGGAGTGCAAGTGCAGGCTTTGTGCCCGCAGAAGCAGGGCTGCAGCTGCGGGGAGGGGATGGGGTGGGTCGGGGTGTCCCGCACCAGAAGCGGGAGCGGGTTCATGTGGCAAGGTTTGGGTAACAGGGGCCACAGGGGTGGCTTCTGTGAGAAGAATCCAGAAGCTGCCCCATGTTAGATAAGGGCCCCGCTGTGAGAGCAGAGTTAAGAAAGAGAAAGGAAAAAAAAAAAAAACAAAAAAAAAAAAACTGCTTCACAGCAGATGGTAGAGTGAGATGAGTGAGAAACAGCCCTGCAGGTGCCAAGGTCAGTGAGGAAATAGGGGGAGAGGTGCTCCAGGCAGCCTGTGGAGAGGCCCCTGGTGGAGCAGGCTGTCCCCCTGCAGCCCATGGGTCCCACATGGAGCAGATCTCCACGCTGCAGCCCCCCCATGGGTGGAGGAGCCCCCGGTGGAGCAGGTGGATGTGGCCTGGAGGAGGCTGCGGCCCATGGAGAGCCCTCCTGGAGCAGATTCCAGGCCAGAGCTGTAGCCCGTGGAGAGGAGCCCATGCAGGAGCAGGGGGCTGGGGGGAGCTGCTGCCCATGGGGGACCCAGGTTGGAGCAGTTTGCTCCTGAGGGATGGACCCCATGGTATGGAGCCGTATCTGGAGCAGTTCTTGAGGAGCTGCTGCCTGTGGGAAGCCCACGCAGGATCCGTTCAGCATGGACGGCATCCCGTGGGAGGGACCCCACGTCACAGGGAACGAGAGTGACCAAGAAGGAGCGGCGGAGACGAAGTGCCACAGACTGACTGCAGCCACCATTCCCCTGTGCTGCTCAAGGGGAGGAGGTGGAAGAGGGTGGATGTGGGGAAGATGCTTTTGGTTTCTTTCCTTTGTTTCTCCCTTCTCTAGCTTGTTAGCAATAGGCAATAAATCTTACCATCTCCCTGTGCTGAGTCTGTTTTGCCCGTCACGATAATTGTTGAGTGATCTCCCCATCCTTACCTCACCCCTTGAGCCCTTTTCATTTCTCCCCCTTTCTCTTTGAGGAGGGGGAGTGAGGGAGCGGCCGTGGTGGAACTCAGCTGCCCACCTGAGTAAAACCCCCGCAGGTGCACGGCTGCAGCCAGGACTGGGAATACCAACCAGCTCAAATCCAGTTAAAAGCTGTGAGAAAGGCTGAGGAGTGCAGCATGCTTGCCTGGCAGTTTGTGTGTTGACAGCACAGTACGAAGCCCAGGGTCTGTCTGTGACATGCAGGGGTAGCAGTGCTGCTTCTGCAGAGGTGGCTGCTCCAGCAGCCTGCTGATCCCTGCACAGCCCTGCTGGACTCAACCAAGCGAGTTCCTGCTCATGAATCACCTCCGCTGCTTCCAGTCCGAATTTTCCTTGGAGTTTGTCCAGACAGGCTATAGGACAGGGTATGAGATCATGATGAGACCATCAGATGCCTTTTGGGGAAAGGCAGCAAAAAATGAAATGCCCAGCGTGGCATTCTGTAGTCAGAGGCAAGCAGGAGGGAACCTGCTGGAGCACCCTTATTTAACAGCAGAGTGCAGGACCTGACCTTCAGGGACACTTGGTTCTTTTTGTAACCTGGACAGACACACATGCTCTGAACCAGTTAAACCCCAAGCCTGGGATGCAGGGAAGATGTTTCCCTTTGATCCCTCTGTGTAAGACCTCAGACTGTTGAGGCCCCTCCTGCTGCTCTGCACCAAAGACCCCAGTGTATACAGCACACAATGATTCCTGCAGAGAAAAGGAAAACCTCGCACTGAATAGCAGGAAGCATTTCATCAGCCAGCTCTAGCATGGCCTGCTCTCCCTGGGGGAGCACGGGTGTCCCTCTGCTTGAGTCAGCCACAGTTTAGAGTCCACTGCACAAAAGGCTAGAGGGTGGAGTGTCCCTCACAAAAAGGAGTGAGGGACAGTGCCTTGGCTTGGGGAGGACGTGGCATGGGGACTTCCCACCTTGGCAGCGACGGATGCTCTGCATTGGGCTGGTGCTGGCTCCTGTAGGGGCAGGCTGCTGCCCAGCTCTATGCGATGCTGCTGGTGGTCTGTGAGCCCAAGAGCAGATCTGGAGCCCTCTGGCCCTTAAGCTGCCCAGAGAGGTTGGCCATCGTTTTGAGTGCCTTCCCGGTCTCTTCCGAGTCACTGCAGCTACCATCCCAGCAGGCCCAAGCAGTGCTGCTCCCCAGGTGCAGAGCTGGAGCTGAGGACAGTTCATCCTCTGCCTGCACCTCCCAGATCCTTGGCACAGAAGTGTAAACCAAGAGGGCTGACCACCTCCAGATCCAGAATAAGACAGGCCTGGTCCAGGTCTGGGTATCCCTGTGATCCCTAGAAAGGGAAGATCTGCTGAGCAATTTTGCCCTGAAGCAACTCAGTGAATCTGGATGCCAAGCTGAGATGGTTATTAAATTGACTACTGTAACATAGTGCATTTTTTCTCAATTAAACCCAAAGTTAGGATTTTGTCCGTCTGTAAGCCTGACTCTGGAGAACAGCCCATCAGTCCTGCCATCCCAGCCCACAAGGGTGAACCGTGGCATGGTGGGGGCTGCTTCCTTCCCCAGTTCCCACAGGCCTGTGGCCAAGCAGCCCAGTTTACCTTCACAGCACCCAGAGACCTGGGCAGGACAGAGCTCAGCATGACCCTAACGGGCTCTGGGGTGTCACCTGCCTCAGTGCCACAAGCACAGGCAGACTGGGGAGCTGCCCGGGGGCCTTCATCCCTGCCTTATCTGGGCAGAGAACATCCACAGGAACATCCACAGGATGTTCTCTCATCCTTTCACAGCACAAAGGGCAGAGAACCAGCCAGCTTCCCCCTCTCTACACCTTCAAAATACGTTCCCAGCTCTTGGCCTGTTAACTTACCCTCCATAGGCAGCCCAGCTTTTGCCACAGCCCCACAGAGGCGCACCGTGATCCAGAACACATCCTGGGCAGCATGGCAATGACGATGTGGCCCCATGGCTCTCAGAGCTGCCACCACGGGGAGCACCTCCCCTGCTTTCGTCCCACGGTCAGAGCACCTCCCGTGCTTTCATCCCCAGGTGCAGGGATGCCCCATAGCTTGCTCCCCCCCACTCAGTGACTGCCTTGGGTCCATCACAGGCAGGACTGCAGCAGTGGTTGCATGCACCCGTGCTCTGTCTTCCTGCACAGAGCACCCCGAGCTGAGCGCCCACAGGCTGGGATCCCTGCCCGTGCCAAGTCAGCAGATCCTGTTGTTAGCCCAGCTGGGGCTTGCAAAGGCTTTCACCCCCACTCCTGCACCTCCTGCTCACTCCTCCCCAGCCAGAGCAAAAATCAACACAACAATTCCGGTTGTCTGCAGAGCAAACATTCCAGCTGAGGTATTTCCAGTGCTGCCGGACCTGGGTCGGGCAGAGCTGCAGGCGTGCAGGGCTGCTGCTGGGGAAAGGCAGGACGGTGCTGCAGGATGGAGCTGGGAGCAGCTCTGGGAAGCAGGAGCCCAGAGCTGGGGAGCCCCAGCAGCACGGGGAGGTGGGGATGCAGCAAGGTGACCAGCAGCAAGGGCCTCCTGCACAGCCACTGGAGATATTAATTGCTTATTAGACATTGAAATGGTCCGGAGTTCAGAGTCCTTGATGAGACCAGCACTCTCACAGCATTAAGGTTCAGGTTCACACAAAGCAGAATGAGTAACTTGTTTCCCCATTGCTGGGACTAGGGCTGCTGTGGCTACTGGGGCTTTTGCTCCTGGATGCTAATGCACGAGGGTACTCACTGCCGAATACCTGCTTCCACCTATCGCAGCTGTGTACTTTAACCGTTCTATCTTGGGAAGCACTGGAGTCCTAAAGCATTGCTTCATTCCCCCCTTCCCACCCCCCAGGTTACAGCAAAACTCACTGGCTGTGCAAGGGGCTTGCACTACTAAACTCACTTCCTAAAGCAATCCCTCCCCCAGGCAGCAGATGAGCATAGAAAATGTTTCATGCTTTACCAGAGCTACTTGGGGCTAAGCTTGTCAAAAACAAACACACACTCTCTACAGACTGTTCACTGCCCCTGCTTCAGCATACACTGTAGGAGCACGAGCAGAAAGCGCTCGCTTGGCATTCCCTTTTGAAAAATTCAACTCTGACATTTGCAAAAGCAAAATGGACTTGAGGAAAGCAGATTTCATGCAGTGGGATAGACATTTTTCTCTGCTTAATTCATCAGGAATGGGTCCTGAATCACAATCTGAAACCCCAAGTGACCCCAAGCCCCAGAAACCTGCATCCACAACCCTCAGCCAGCCCAGGAACCTCTAGGAGCTCCTCCAGGGCAGGTATGAGAATCCACCTCACAATTTTCAGCCAAATGCTGACTGATTCCTGGATTTTAAGCCCTGTTCGTGTTGATCTGTGATCAGTGGTGGAACTCAAGGAGGCTTTGCTTCATCAGCAGATACCCAAATACCACATCCAATATGTGAGTCTGAATAAACACACGTGGGGCCAGCCTGGCTGCAGGCTCTTGCCCCTGAGAAGCCAAGGCAGCTGCCCCATGGCAGGGTGAAGCACAGATACTGGCACCAGCCCCTTCCACCACACTGCTCAGCTCCAGCAGAAGATGCTCTGCTGCACCCTAAGGGCAGCAGGAACAGGTCTAGTGGCCACCACAGCACGCTCAGGATCCATGCCACTGTTTCACAGACACACCTTGGTGTTTTGAGATATCCCACTAGCAAGGGCTTGTTACATACACCCTACAGGTCTGACTCCTTTCCACCCCCATCATTAAATTAACGAGCCAAGTGTTTGTTACAAAGTTATTTATTAGAATATTACATTGCACTTAAAAAATAA